AAATGGGTTTACTAAAAATCTACCCGTGCGATGCATCGCAAAGTTGATATTTTAGTAAAGGGTCATTTACTAAAATACCCTTATGGTTTCATGGGTTTACTAAAAATCTACCCTGTAGTTAGCATTTTACTAAAACACCACTTATAATTTGAAACGGATTTAGTCAATCTTTCATTACAAGATAGTGGAAAATGATAGTGTTGACCCTAATGTTCATTTAAATAAATTTAATCAAAAGAAAATAGAAATTAAAATATCATTTTTGCCCTTAATAAGACACGGGCAACCACTTTATTGGCTATATTTGGCCAATTTTGTTTTCTATATAAAAAAGTGTTAGTGGTATTTTTTGAATAAAAAATCATGGGCCTAATGGCAAAACAAACACTCCTTAATGAAAGGTTGATTAAGTAAATAAGTAGTAAAATATATGAGATATTTTAGTAAAATGAAGACTATAAGGTAGGTCTAAGTAAATATGTAAAACTATAAGGTGTGTTCTAGTAAATGGCCCAAATAAAAATACATAAGAGTAGACAATTGTTTTATATTTTCAACTTTTTAAATAATAAATAATTATTCATATTTTATATACTACTTTTAATAAATTTTTTATAATACAAAAATAACAATAACTAATTTCAGTTAAATTTATTCATCAAACTTATGAAACCGACCAACTTGATCAACTTAACCCGAGTTGGTCAGTTTTCTAGTATTTTATGTCAGTTTTGGTTCAAAAAATTCCCAATTCGACCAAGTTGGATCAGTTTCACTTTGGCCATTTGTAAACTAACCAAAATCTAATGACTTAACCATGGATATATATTAATATTTTATATTTTAAATAATTTTTAATATAAAAAAGTGAAAAATTTCCCATATTTCTTAGTCTAAAATGTTTTATTTCATAAATCTAATTTTTTAATTTATTTTTTAATAATTGCACTATAATTTTTAAAATTAAATTTAATGTTTAAGTTTAAATCTTTTGAACAGACTAACCTTTTTGTGAAAACCAATCCAAACCGATACAACTTGAGTGTATCAGTTTTCACAAAAGGTCAGTTGGTTTCAACTCACTAACTCCCCAACTTGACCAAGTCAATTTGGTTGGCCAAATAGCCTATGACCGGACCGAACCAACTCATGAACATTCATAGTTTTAGCTAAATTAATAGTCTTATATCCAATAAATAACAATAGTTTAATCTTCAATAGTTATTGAAAATTTATAGCGAAAATACACAATTATTGAAAATATATTGATAATGAAAAAAATATAATAATTACAATAATTACAAAAATACAATAAGTACTAAAATATATTAACTTAGTCAATAAATAGTATAATCTCAAATAATACTTTAATCTCTAATAAATATTAATTAATCAATAAGTTATAAAGAAAATACAATAAATACAATAAGTACAATAAATTAAATTTAAAAAATTCACCAATAGTAGTTTAATCTCCAATAATTATTTAAAGTTTTCTACCAAATAAAAAAATAAAATAAATTTATACATAATCATTGAAAATACATTTACCACAAAAACAATAAATAATTACTAAAATACAATAAATATTAATTTTAGTATATAATTATATAATAAATACAGATTAAGAGAATAAAATTATTATTAATAAACATTAATTTTTCGAAAGTTATTTTCTTGAATTATTACTGGATATAAGTGAAATTAGTTATTTACAATATTAAATTATTATTAATTTCAATATTATGTTATAATTATTTTTCTACTTTTCAATTTTTTTTTAAATTTATTACATAATTTCTTTATTTTAACTATTTAAAATCTAGTTATGTTAAATATTTTTTATAAAATATTTAATTATTTAAATACTTAAATAATATGTAAAATATTTAAATTTTAAAATTTTAATTATTTATTGAATTTAATTATCCATAAAATCATAGTTTATACTATTATTACATAATTTCATTATTAATTTTGTAATATACTAAATTATTATTAATTTCAATATTATGTTATAATTATTTTTCTACTTTGAACAAAATTTTAAATTTATTACATAATTCCATTATTTTAACTATTTAAAATCTAGTTATGATAAATATTTAAATAATCTATAAAATATTTAAAACTTTTTGTTATTTTAATTTTATTTATTTAAAGCTATTACATTTTATTAAATATTTGAAAAACATTTAAATTGATAATCCGGAAAAACATTATTTAAATTGTTAGTACATAATATCGTGATATATTTTGTAAAAATATAAAATTATTTTTTGTGTTTTTAATAAATATTTTAAAGTTATTATATAATTTTGTTAGAATATTTAAATAATTCTTAAATTTTTTTAATCCAAACTTTCTTTAGATAGATATAGATAAAAAGTAGGGGAAAGGATAAAGAGGAATTAGAGATAATTTAGAAGATAAATAGGAATTAGAGATAATTCTGGAGAAAGTGGGGGAGGTTGTTTAAGATAAATTTTAGGAGAAGAGATTATCTAGGTTATTGGGAAAGTGCATCTCATTGGTTGTTTCTAAAATGACATGGAATAAAAAAAACAAAAAATTCAAAAAAGGGAGAAAATTTCTTGACCACTTTGTTTTATATATATATATAGAGAGAGAGAGAGAGAGGGAGAGAGAGAGATTAAAAGGAAGATTTCCATGAACTTATTTCTCTCTCTCTCTCTTGTTTAAATGTGGCGGTTTAGTAGTAGTTACGTTACTTGTTACTTTTGCCTAAATAGTCTTGTCTACTACGATAGCTATCAACTCTACCTAGTCTCGACAAATCTTTACTATCAACTATAAGTTCTTCCTGCCCCCTCCTTTTCTTTCTTTCTTCCTTGTCTTATTGACCTTCTCCCCCTCCTAGCCCTCTTAGTGTTTCTGTGCATGTTTTCTTAGCCTTTAGTTTAAGGTTTGTTCTCACCCTTCAGTCCTTTTCTTAGGGGCTTTTACCTCTTTTTTTAGGGTTTTCTAACCTTTTTTCTATTTTAGGATGGAGCAAAATAATCAACCTAGGAGTAATAATGTAATAATGAAGAAGAGAAAACAAACTAAATTTGGAAGTTGTGTTTGCTCAACTCCTACAAAGCAATGATAATCAGAATGTTGGTATCTTTGACTTCTCCAATAGAATCACAGATGAAACCCAGGGAATATGATGATTTTTCATGATTGGTATAGTCTTCCCTAAAGCTACCATTCCCATGCAAGATCTTCATGGTGTTTGGAAGCGTGGGCGTTTTTTGTAACCAATTTTCAAGAAAAAATGCCCATGCTTCCAAGACCTGTTTTTTGTTGAAAAATGCCTTATTTTTGTTTGGTAGTGTTTCTGCCACGTAGGCAGTGAGCAATACTATGTTGTTTGATAAGGTGATTTTCATTACCGTTTTTCATGTATGTACACACATTCCCCTGTAAGATGATGCACGCTAATGTCATACCAAATTATATAACGATACTTATCAAATGGTCCAAATTAATTGGATGATTGTTTTATAATATCTCGTCAAAAGAAAGTTTAGATTAAAAATATATTTTTAAGAATTATTTAAATATTCTAACAAAATTATATAATAGCATTAAAATATTTATTAAAAGCATAAAAAAATTACAAAATATAGCACAAAATTATGTACTAACAATTTAAGTTATGTTTTTTCTGGACTATCAATATAAATGTTTTTTAAATATTTAATAATATGTAATAGCTTTAAATAAATAAAATTCAAATAACAAAAGATTTTAAATATTTTATAGATTATTTAAATATTTATCATAACTAGATTCTAAATAGTTAAAATAGAAAAATTATGTAATAAATTTTAAAAATTTCTTCAAAGTAGAAAAATATTTATAGCATAATATTGAAATTTAAAATAATTTAATATATTACAAAATTAATAATGAATTATGTAATAATAGTATAAATTTTGATTTTATGGATAATTAAATCCAATAAATATTTCATATTTTAAAATTTAAATATTTCACATATTATTTAAGTATTTAAATAAATAAATATTTGAAATAACAAAATATTTAACATAACTATATTTTAAATAATTAAAATAAAGAAATTATGTAATAAATTTAAAAAATCCTGAAAATTAGAAAAAATATTTATAACATAATATTTAAATTAATAATAATATAATAGTTTTACATAATATTGTAAATAACTAATTTCAATTATATCAATTAATAATTCGAGAAAATAACTAATTTCATTAATTGTTTATTGTTTTTTGTGATAAATGAATTTTCAATGATTATGAATAAATTTATTTTGTTTTGCTATTTAACAGAAAACTTTTTATAATTATTGGAGATTAAACTACTATTATTGAAATTTTTAAATTTAACTTATTGTACTTATTGTATTTATTATATTTTTGTTATAACTTATTGAGTATATTTTATTAGATATTAAACTATTATTTGAGATTATACTATTTATTGACTAAGTTAATATATTTTTAGTACTTATTGTATTTTTGTAATTATTGTAATTATTGTATTTCTTTCATTACTAATATATTTTCAATAATTGTGTATTTTCACTATAAATTTTCAATAATTATTGAAGATTAAACTATTCTTATTTATCAGAGATGAGATTATTAATTTAGCTGAAATTATGAGTGTTCATGAGTTGGTTCAGTTCGGTCGTAAGCTATTTGGCCAACCAAATTGATTTGGTCAGGTTAGAGAGTTGGTCAGTAAGGTCAAATCCAACCCACTCAAGTTGTATCGGTTTATGTCGATCTTTTGGTTTGGTCAATCGGTTCAAAAGATTTAAACTTAAATCCAACCTTGTGATTACCCCTTATTGGGCAACGTAAAAACCATCACCCATAATTAGTTTCTGTCCTTGCCATATGTAGTGTCATCTCCCCTTTACCATAAGAGCAGTTTGGTAAGTGCATCCCATCAATCATTTCTGCATGAATAACTTGTACAATAAACATCCAATGATGATCAACAAGTGAGCATAAAAATACATAAACTTATCACAGTTTAAAATATATAAAGCAATAAAGAAGCTTAATCCATAACAAACATAAAACTCATCACAGTTTGAATTCCAACATTTTCTTCGTCAGAAACATAACATCATGTTTCACATGTTTCGATATAAGCCACAAATCTATGTATCCCACTGGGTAGATCTTTGGTACTTCTTCCATAGCTCAGAAGAAATTCGGTTTCTAACCATGTCCATCTCTCTGCTCGAACCTAGTGCAGATGCAGTGTGCTTTTCATCATCATCATCGCCACTTGAACCGTCATCAACTGAGTCATTTTCATAACCATCTGCACACTCTTCTATGTGTTTATCTTCACATGCCTCTTTTTATAAAGTTGTATATTATAAAACATGACAGTACAAGAAATCATTGAAACTCTAATTGGTAGCATGACATGTTTTTCAAAATGGGGAATTTACCCTTCAAGATCCCAAAGTGATGTTCGATGACATTACGTAGTGAAAAATGAGTAGTTGAAAAGGTCTTCCTTGCATCTAAATCTACCGAACTGTCTCTCACTAAGGCGGTACCATTCACTAGAGTATGGTGCTAGGAAACTAGGAGCATTAGCAAATCTAGAATCAATAAGGTAGTACTTTTCTGCATTGAATTCTATATGTGAAGACACACAAAGAAAATTAATAAAGGGCAACTCTAAGGATTGTCTACTGCACCTGGTGGTGGTTTGGGAAACTCTATATTGAGCCTAGTAAGTGCTTATGCCAATATCCTTGAATCATGTGTTGATCCTTCCCATCCCGTGTATACAAAGGTATAGAACATATTAAAATCACAAATAGCCAAAGCATTTGTTGTACAAACCTTCTTCCTTCCTCTATCTAGTATTTGTTTAGCAACAGGGACACTAACTGATACATGTGTATCATCTATAACCCCCAAACAATCCTATTCATAATTATGAACATAATTAGAACAACAAATGTGGAGAGAACTACTACAGACTATGAAATGTAGTTACCTTGAACATTGGATAATATCTCTTAGATTTCTTAATAAATGGTTGCACTTCAATGAATGCAAGTGGCCTTATGAGCTCCTTTCCTATTTTGCAAATTACATACACAACTTTTTGTACATGTGTATTAATGGTCCATGAAGAATGGTGGAATCGCTCATCCATCAAGCAGTTCCTCTCATTATGACCAATTGTGAGTAGGAAGAATGAAAGTGACTCCTCGATGATGGTATTCCTAGTGTTCTTCAAAACTCCTCTTACCGTAAGTAGAGAGGCTAGGTTTTTGAAGACATGTCATTCCATCCTAAATGAATTGTAGCATCTATCTGCATATTCTAAGTCATTAAGGACTTTTGTCCACACATAAGTGTGTCCGGTCAAAAAAGAAGTCATGCAACGTTGCCTTCTTGTTTGTGAACAATACAAGTGTAGTATGCAGAAAGTCATAATGAAGTTTATCATGTCCTCATCATCATCATCTGAATCAATGGATTGTCTTTTTCATTGATACTAATGAGGATCCATAGAATATTGTTGTATGACAAACTATAACATTATAATGAAATCAAAATAAACATCAGACACCATGGTTATAACTAGCATATAATCATGTAAATACCAGCATGTAACAAAAAATTTCATAAGTCCAAATGGGAGTACATATGAGCATTAGAGATCATCATCCATTACCAAAAAAAAACATCATCCCAAAAAGTACTTAGATTTAACCAAGCACAAAAAGAAATAAAGTCTTCTAGAAATCATGGATTTGATGGCTCATCATTCAATCCATGGAGCTAGAAACCCCTAACATGTGTAGGCATAGTAAGAAAAGTGTGCCTCCATTTCTCTTCCATAAACAACTTGGTTGCCCTAAAATAGCACGTTAGAGAAAATTTTTCAACATCAAATGTGGCATTAAGGGTTTCAATGCATTACTCTATTTCCTCTTTCTCATGAGCTTTTTCAAGTCTATCCCTCTCTAGATTTCTTTCATTTTCCATTTCTCGAATCTTTGCCCTCTCTAATTCTATCAAGTTTCTTTCCTTCTCCATTTCTAGTAGTTCAACTTTCTTTTTGTTGTACTTTACCCATGAATTAATCATTAAATCAAGTCCAAGTGGAAGACATTGTTTCTTCCCTTTCTTCATGCTAGTCGGTGGATTGCCAACTCTACTCTTACAGTCTGGCATCTCTAATACATCATCTGTGGGATCAATAGTGTAAGGACTGGCAAGAGATTCCCAAGTTGTTGATGTCCCTTGATCATAATATGACAACTGGTAGTGGGCTATCTAAAATTGGGACATGATCATCAAGACCCATTTCAAGAGAGTATCCCATGTCCCCGATTGCCTGTATTCCTCCAAAAATGTATTCCAACTCATCCCAATGTCGATAAACTTGTGTCCAAAACGATCATGCCCAATGATGAGTTTGCACAATATAAGGAATTGATTACGTTTTATACCATTCTAATCAAAAGTAAATGAGTGGGTTCAAGGCAAATTACCTTCATTAGGCTTTGCTAGACTTCTTCATTGGCGATAGGATTCTTTGTCAATGGATCTACAGTCACACCTGTGTGGTTAAGGAGGGTTAAGTACGGATTCTGACGTTGTCTAAGTGCATTATATTTGTTTTTAAACTGAGCATGGACATAACTCCTATTATGTTTCTAGTTAAATTTCTGGCATATGTACTTCCACCCTTCTGTGTTAAAGGAAGATGTAGGCTTGTTGTTTGCCCTAACTTGGTCCACCATAAGATTAATGAATGTTTTCTCCTCTACATCAGTCCACTGTGCACAATCGGGACCTACTTTGAATTCTTCATTATCTAACTCGGTTGCCATCCTGCTATCAAACCGCTAAGCTTAATGAATAGTGCTCTAAATACTTTAATGGGACAAGTCATTATCTATCTAACTCGGTTGCCCTACATAATAGTTCATAATAGTTTATACAACAACACATAAATTAATATCATTATCTATCTAGTATTAAGAAAACACATTTGAAAGGAAATATTCATAATAGTCTAATGTATAAGAAATATTCACTTATAATTTAAGGTTCAATTAGTTTCAGTTTTGCAAGTTAGAAATGAAGCCAAATGTTAGTTACGGAGATTTTACTATAAAGAAACAAACCATAATTAGAGATAACTTTCTTGGAAAATATATCTACAATGATACAATAGCTAGAAAGCTTGTATTTCTAGTTTCGGGTTTGCTACAATAGCTACAATAGTTTCGGTTTTGTTGTAACTAACTTGTATTTGTTTCTTATCATTGGCAAGGTTATTATCATTGTTGTAACTAACTTGAATATAAAAAGACCCAAAGTTTTTTTTTTCTCCATTTGAGATGGTTTAACCTAAGCTGTAGCCTATAGAAACCCCATCTCTATTCAGACCAGCCATGTCAACTCGGACCCCCAAGAACTCAAAATAGTAGCACAGTCAAGAGCCTTCCAGTCCCCATATCCTATCTGGGTTCTTCCATATTTCTTTGCATGAAACAGAGCAGAGCTAGCAGAGACTCATAACGGGAACATATTTCACATAAACCCAATTGCAACACAGTCAAGAGCCCTCCAGTCCCCTGTCCTATTTGGGTTCTTCATATTTCTTTGCATGAAGAGCTAGCAGAGACTCATAATGGGAACAGGTTTCAGATAAACCCAATTGTGGCACAGACAAGAGCCCTTCAGTCCCCTGTCCTATCTGGGTTCTTCATATTTCTTTGCATGAAGAGCTAGAAGAGACTCATTATGGGAGCAGAATTCACATAAACACAATAGATTTCACCACTAATTGATCCACAACCCACATGGGGCCATAAAAGATTAACGGGCTAGAGTATCACAACAACAACCGGTCAGATCATTAAATCACAAATGCCAAGATTCAAGTGGGCCATCATGGATGAACAAACACATTAAAGAGATGGAAGCCCTCAGTTGCAGTTCCTCAATATCAAAACACATAGGATTCATCACAGGATACACAACTGTGTATGGAAACCTTGACCATGTTCAAACTTCTAGGCCACAACTTTGTTGGGTCAGATCAGGTTGAACTTGATGTTCATGGGACCAAAGAATTAATCAGATTCTTTGGTGAAAGAATGCCCAATTTGGTTGACTACTGGTTGACTAATCAATTATGTGCTTTTTCTTTTTTTATTTTTATTCTATTATTTGGGTTGCTTATTCTCCTAGTTTATTTTGGTTCTTTCATGTTAATTCATCTTTAATGTTTGCTAGTTACTACACAAACTATAGAAACAAGATAATTCATACAAGAATAGGGACAAAGACTGAAATCAACTAGATACAAGTACCTTAGTAACTATGATACAAATGCTCCTGAAAGCAACACAATCCCCTTTCACCACTACAAGAGATATTTTCAAATACAAATTGAAAAAATATATCCAATCACCTTCTTCTTGGATAAAAAATATTTAACCATGACAAATTCCCTTAACTGATAAAAAAAAAAGAAGAACCAATTATGTTAATAATCTCGTTGAGGCCGTTATAGGTTATGACAGACTAGAGATCACTTTGTTTATCTAAAATTATGTTTTGATGATTAGTAGCTATAAGTCCAATGGCCAATAAAACTTGAAACAAGTTCATTGTATAATACCCTGAGAACAAAGGTGCAAGAAAAAACAAATTTTTAACCTCAAATAGCCAGCAGCCCCAGAATGTATAATTCAAGAAAGAAAAGAAAAAGAAAATAATGCACATGGTTCTATCTCATGGTTCTATCAAAACAAGAAGGAAAGCAAACTTCATGGTTCTATCTCATCTGGTTTACAGAGAAGGAAAAGAAAACGTTTTTATAGAGAAAAACGAGCTTACATAGAGGGAAAAATAAGTATAGAGACAAACCTCTTCCGGCTACGACCAAATTCCTCAGGCGACAACCAACCTCTTCCGGCGACGGTAGTAACGAAGATACTTTCGGTGAGCCAGAGGTTACAGAGGCTTTGGGATGTTCGGCGGCAAGAAGAAAGAAGAGGACTGTCTAACCCTACCATTTATTGGGTTAATGTTCCGATGGGCCGAGAAGCACTGGAACATAACCACTAATGCCAACTCAGATTACACATAAGTGCCATGTAGGAGCCACTTTTTGCTAGTTCAGTTAACCGTTGGGAGCAACGGTTCACCGATGCATGAAAAGCTAAATTTGGCGTTTCATGCATTGGTGGTCCCCCGATTTTCGGCATGTCCAATTTTTTGATAATTGACTGAACCAAATAATGAGATACATGGGCATTTGTTGAAACGCTTATGTGGATCTGATGTGGTACCGTTTTTTGAAAAACGGCCACGATTCCAAACATCCCACTTATAAGTCATGATAGTTGGGGGGGTCAATGAAAATAGTCTTCTTGTCCAGCCTCTTAGTCAAGGCCTTCAGACCTAATATCAAAATGACTATGACAATGTTAGGAACAATGGTCCTTGGTATGTGTTTTACCAATGGCTCATGTTTGCAAAATGGAGTGAAGGTAGAGACCAGTGCACTTCCATTATTACCAGAACTGAAGTCTACCCTCAAGTACATAATCTGCCTTTTGAAATGACCAACATAGAGAGAACCCAGCAAATTGGTGCCTCCTTTTTGACATGTAAATCTATTAAAACCCATCCATGTAAAATACTTTCGTCTAAAGGTTATCATAGACATGGAAAGGCCTTTAAAAGCTGGCTATTTTGTTAGTTCCACTACCTAGCCCATTTACAGATATAAAAGCTTGCTTGGAATCTGCTTTCTTTGTGGCCGTGTGGGGCATTGCCATCATCGATGTTCCTTTTGTGACCTACAATCCAACAAACCAAGAATATTTATTTAGTTCCAGGCCCATGAGTTTCTCAAGTCCCTGGATCAAAGTGGAAACCCAATAAGAATGGATTGGTGATTTCTAGACTTCGGACAATTCATCTAGCAAGAGCATACTAGATGTTGTTGAGAAGAAGAAAGTTGACAAAGAGCCATAAACCCTCCTAGAGATGATTGGGGGTCATCATTGGGAACAAGGAGAATCCTTTGGATCAGGAGCCTCCTCGAATGTTGGGTTAAGCGGCAATTTAGGTAGTCCCGACATAGCAAGTAGGTCAAATCAGTATGGAAATCCTTAATGGACAGAAGTTGGCAAGCCCCAAATGATGGCTTCAAATCATGAAACCCCTATTAGTCAAGCTCAGAGAATTCTAGACAATTTTCAAAGGACCACAAAGTGGTATTAGAATGGGGCCCCTTCCTCCTTTGGATCCTCTAGGTGCAATCACGGGTCCAACCCCAAGAAACCCATCAAGGATTTCAGGTTCGGAGTAGAGCCATAAGAAACCCAAGAGAATCCTAGAAGAGGATTTCTCAACTCTTCGAATTCAACCCAACCCACCAGGAGTTGTCAACCCTTCTGCTCTCCAAGAAGAGCTTATCCCCCTTACCTCTCAACGAATGGACCCTAAAGACCTGGAAAATAGAAATGCTATGGTTAAATCTGTCATTTTGGAAGGATCTTAGGCTTCCACCCTCAGAGGGACTCAGAAGATCACCTTGAGGAGGTAACCTCCTTTTATCCTTCCCATATTGTTTTGGCTTATCTGTTTTTGCTTGGGATTGTAGAGGAATCCGCAGAAAATTTTTCCATAGCAACTTTCTGAATCATGTTAAACGTAGTTCCCATGATTTAATTTTTCTCTGAAATGAAAGTTTCCTCCACCAAAATGAATCTTTTGCAAAAGAAAATTTGCTACCCAAATTCTTGTATGATAGATGCGGATGGCCTGTCAAGAGACAAACATGCAATCAGTTTTCACAAATACACTTGTGATGAGAAAATCTCCATTGCTTTTGTTGGTGACTTTAATGTTGATTTAAATTATGATTGCCACATTGAAAAGGATCTCATAAGAGCTGCTAGCAATTCCTCTTTAACCCGATGTTTTAGGAACTTCATAGATTCTTTCCACCTAACATACATCAACATAGCTGGGGAGTCAACCACATGGCCAAATGGGCAGAGAGGTTTGGGTAGAAGAGAAAAGAAACTTGATTGCATGTTTGTCTCTGGTGAATGTTTAAACATATTTACTACTTTGAAATCTATAATCTGCCCCAAATGGGGCCCGGATCATAAGCCTATCTAGGTCTGGTTCAACCTTGATCAGAGTCAAAAACCTAAACCTTATAAGTTTTTTAAGAGTTGACTTATGGAATCAGGCAGAGTGAACATCATAAATAAATAATGGGATCAATCAATTCATGGTTATGTTGGATTTAAAATTACTAGGAAATTAGATAGGATAAAAGAAAGGCTTAGAACCTGGAACAAGACTTGTTTTGGAGATGCAAAGAGAAAAGTCGAGAAAATAAATAACCAGGTTTTGGACTTGGAAAGTTGAGTGATCTCCGAGGAAAACAACCAAAAAATAAAACAGTTATGTATTATCAAGGAAAAGCTCCTATATTAGCAAGAGTCTTTTTGGAGACAGAAGTCCAGGCAGCTTTGGCTTAGAGAAGGGGATCACAACACAAGCTATTTCCATAAAGTTGTCAACTTTAGGAAACAAAGGAATCAGATATCATGGATAAAAAATGATGATGGGGAACACATATCAAATCAAGAAGGAACTGCAAATACCTTTATTCAATACTTTGAAGAACAATTCCAATCTAGAAGAGACTTTTTCTTCACAGGCATGAATGGCCTCTTTGAGAAGACAATTCCAAACTTCTTGCTCCCCCTGTTATAAACGAAGTGAAAGAAGTTGTCATGTCCATGGGAAGTTTAAAAGCCCCGGGCTGGGATGGTTTCCTTGCTATTATTTATCAAAAATTTTGGGGCTCAGTGTGGTGACCTCTATGACTTAGTTTGTGACTTTTTTAGGAATAAAAAACCTCTAGGTCAAATAAACCACACATTTATCCCCTTATACCCAAAACAAAGCCCCTTCCAAAGTTAATCATTATAGGCCAATCAGTTTATGTAACGTTGTCTCTAAGATAATTGCAAAACTCCTGGCCAGTAGAATGAAACTTCTGATAAACAAATGCATTTCCCCCTTCCAAGTGGCTTTTGTTAAAGGCTGACTCATTCAAGATAATATAATCCTTGCTCAAGAGATTTTCCACTACCCGAAAACAAGCAAAGGCAAAATAGGATAAATGGTTTTGAAACTAGACATCTCTAAAGCTTTTGACTCTCTAGAATGGGATTATCTCCTATGGACCCTTTTAGCTCTAGGCTTTTCAGATGACTAGTGTGAAATGATCAAAGTCTTCCTCTCCAAAGGAATCCGTCTTATGGTTTTTTGCTTGATAATTTCAAAGCATGTTTAAGCAAATGGAAGGCCAGCTCTCTGCCCTATGTTGGTAGACAAACTTGTCCAGTTTGTGTTACAATCCATCCCCATATATTGCATGAGTGTAACCAAAATGCCCCAAAAAACCATAAAAGAAATGTAACACTCACAAAAACAATTTTGGTGGAATGAAAAAGAAAGGGAAAAACGTTTGAAGTGAGTTGCCTAGAGTAAACTCACCTGCCCCATAAACAGACGACTTGGAATGGGAAATCTTGCTTTCAGGAATAAAGCCCTCCTAGCCAAGCTAGCCTAAAGATTCCTGACTGAACCTAGTACTCTATGGGCTAAAGTCTTAGCAGGAAAATACCTCTCAAGCAAGCAAAGCATCCCTAGGAAGGCTTCTACCTCAGCTTCGAGAACCTGGAAAGCCTTAGTGGAATCTCTCTACAGTATCTACCCACATCTTGGAGTCGAGCCATGTATATACTCAAAGGGTTCAGTTTGGGATTTTACCCTGGATTCAAAAAAAAAGTAAAGAATTCATAACTCCTCAGAGATCACCTCAAAAAAGCGATTGAAATTTGACAATAAAAGACCTCATAACTCAAAACCCCACTGGTTGGAATGTTGACAAAATAGAATCGATACTCTTAGGGTCCATTTGGTTTGTAGGAATAGGGGTCTGGAATCGGAATGGGCTATTCCGGTTCCAATTATTTGGCTGGGTGGAATCGGAATCCTATTCCCATTTCTGATGGAATGCAATTCCCCCATTTGAGGGAATGGCCATTCCCTACCCCTATCTTGAGAGTGAAATTTCATTCTTGCTGATTTTAATTCCCATTCTCATTCCTGCCTGAACCAAACAGATTATGGGAATGGACCATTCCGATTCTGATTCCAAAGGATTTTGATTCCGATTCCGACTATAAACCAAACGGATTCTTAGTTTATAAAGATGCAATTCTTAGCACAAGTATCATGAATGATCAATCTGATACCTTCTTGCGGATAAAAGCTAGAAATGGTAATTTCGCCACAAAGCAATTCTACGAGTCTCTCTGGCAAAATTATGATTCAGGCATATCTATGGAAAGTGCTAAATGAATTAAGCTAATAACATGGAAACTAAATATTCCATCGAAATTCAAGCTTTTTCTGTGGAGGCTTGTAGTTCTGTGTAAATCAGATCTTCTAAATCGAGAGATTTTAGATAAATCCAAATGCTCAGTGTGTGATAAACTGATAATGATTAGGGGTGCAAGTCAGGTTGGCCCGAATTAACAGTTTACACTGTTTTGGACTTGGGCTTCGGATTGGGCCTATTGAAATTTTGACAAAATCCCAACTCTAACCCAAAAAAGTTGCACCCCTAATAATGACGAGGAAAACCCATTGCATCTTTTCTTATGGTTTCCTTTGGCTATATAAGGCGGTGCTATTTGCTAGTCCACGGACCATTGTTTTCCCCCAAAACCTTCAAAATTTCTGGATGGTAAGCTACATAACAAAATTCTGTTGGATTAGGCCTTATCCTGGCTTGTCTGGCCTGATATTTTATTTGGAAAGTTAGAAATGACATTATTTTCAAGAATGAAACCAAGGACCCTTCTTGAGTCCTAACCCAAATTCAAACCTCCTTGCATGGATTCCAAGCCTGTGCAGACGCAGCTCAACAAGAAAGCAATCCTACCATGTTAAATGAGCAATCCATAATCATAATTTGTGATGGGGGATATCAAAGAAATAACCAAGGAACCTTTAATTTGGGCTTGTTTTATTGGATTGTTATTTTAATTTTCTTTGTGCTTATGGTAACAATGCAGTCCCCTGGAAGCTGAATGTGTTGTTGTTCAGTAAAACCTTCTTTTTGTGAAATCTCATGGATGAGCCAGTCTAACAATCTTCACAAATGCAGAATTTGATACACACTTGGACCATTACATTGAAAAAATTAAGAACTTATGTCATGACTTTACTTCTGTAAATATTCTGTTTAAGCCTAGGGAACTTACTTCCGCTGCTCATCTAGTAGCCCAAGAGGCAAGAACAACTGATATTTTTTGGTATTGGGAAAATGCTCACAATCGACTGGACCTATCTTTTTGTAATCCTCTTTAATTAAAAGTATCTTTTACTTATCAAAAAAAAACTCAAATAGAATAGGCCATTACCTAGTTTAATTGTTGGGCCTTTATTACTTTTCATCTTTATGAAGGGGCAAAAATGAGGCCCATGCAAGGTTGCATTGGCCATTATCACGTTGAAAACTTGAAATAAAGTTTATTGATTTATGGACCAAGGCTCTGTTTCAGTAAGCTTAGTGAAAAACAGGAATGAGCTAAAAAGTGTTTTAAGCATTTAGCAATTAAGTCTCAAGCCCAAATACTTTTAAGCCTCAAAAGAATAAATCCTGAAACTTATCCAAACTCAACCTACGAATGTATATACACATATTTGTTTTTCTATTACTACAATGAACAATTCTTCTCTCAATCACAATCCAAAGTTATCAAATGTTTCTTCTCTCTATATGAGTTATTGTCTATTCTACTCGAGAATGGGTACTCATCACCCAATCCATATCCATCCACTTAGAACACAACAAAGGCAATAAGATGTGCGTTTGGAACATACATTTTTGTTTTGAAAAAAAAAAAAAAGTATACATATTTGCAAACACCACCTAATATAGTCTTTGTTAATGCCAAGGGTTTTATTTTCTAAAACAAAAATAACTGTCATGTCAGCAAAAATAATGTATTTTTGCAAATGTGGCTAAAGATTATATTGTGTTTTGGTTTTGTTTATTGCACAAGTTCAACGGTGTTTAGTTCCAAATCCAAATGCATATTGTGGCCGGATTTCTCTTTCTCATTGATTGATGTAGACTTGACTTTTTTAGGACATGTAGCCCCAAAAGAATTTATCTTTAATTGCTCTCTCATTTTTCTTCATTCAACTTTATTATTTCATTAAAAAACACCTTGAAGCTTTAGAAGCCGGGTGAGATCCCTGAATGGATTTGTTAAGTAAAATTGTTGATGTATAAGAAGTCCCATGATATTTTTAATTGAGTCAAGTTGGTCTAAGCCTAACTCAAATATTGTTTTTTAAGTTATGTTTTAGTCGATCTGATTTTAACCCAATTTGCACCCCCAATGCCCAATGAGAGTGGTCAAATTTCTATGTTCTACTTTTTTATTGAATAATCTTAAAACTTATTTACTAAAATCTACACTATAGTTAGCATTTTACTAAAATACCACTTATAATTTGCAATGAATTTAATCAATCTTCCATTACATGATAGTGTTGACCCTAATGTTCATTTAAATAAATTTAATCAAAAGAAAATAAAAATAAAAAATACCATTTTTCCCCTAATAAGACATGGGCAACCACTCTATTGGCTATATTGATCAAATTTGTTTTTTGTACAAAAAAGTGTTCAGGGTATTTTTGGAATAAAAAAACATGGGCCTAATGGCAAAACAAACACTCCTTAATGAAAGGTTGATGAAGTAAATGAGTTGTAAAATATATGAGATGTTTTAGTAAAATGAAAACTATAAGGTAAGTTTAAGTAAATATGTAAAACTATAAGGTGTATTCTAGTAAATGACCCTAATAGAAACACACAAGAGTATACAATTGTTTTATATTTTCAACTTCTAAAATAATTAATAATTATTCATATTTYATATACTACTTTTAATAATTTTTTTAAAATACAAAAAATAACAATAATTAATTTCAGTTAGGTTTATTCATCAAATTGATGAAACCAACCAACTCAATCAACTCGACCAAAGTTTGTTGGTTTTCTAGTATTTTAGGTCTGCTTTGGTTCAAAAATTTCCCTATTTAACCAAGTTAGATCAATTTCACTTTGGCCATTTGTAAACCAACCAAAATCGAATGACCTAACCAGGGATATATATATATATATATATATATATATATATATATATATATTAATATTTATATTTTAAATATAATTTTTAATATGGAAAAGTGAGAAATTTCCCATATTTCTTAGTCTAAAATGTTTTATATCATAAATCTAATTTTTAAATTTATTTTTAATAATTACACAATAATTTTTAAAATTTAATTTAATTTTTAAGTTTAAATCTTTTGAACTGACTAACCAAACCAAAAAATCGACCCAAACCGATACAACTTGAGTGAGTCAGTTTTCACAAAAGGTTAATTGGTTTCAACTAACCAACTCCCCAACCTAACCAGGTCAATTTGGTTGGCCAAATAGCTGAAGGGATGAGAAATCCATCATATGGATGGCCAAACCCTGCAGGAAGGTACGGCGAAATTTCAAAATTTTTTCTCTCTCCCATCTGGGAATCACATTCCCTATTTTAGAAAAATTGCATCTTGATTTCAATGATCAATCTTGAACCAAGAACCAAACCAGATCTGAACCAAAACAGTAGGAGAGGGATA